GAGATGTCTCATTTAAGTAAATCATTAATAAAACCATCAATTTATGAAAAGGTAAACTACAGTTTTATTATTCATCTTCCAAAAAGAAATATTGGCACATTTCTTCAAGAGGTAAGGATTGCTAATACATTTACAAGATGATTTGCTTTGTAAATTTAGAGTGACATGCAACTTTTCAGGAACATGTGGATTGTAAACAAACTATATCTTGACTGGTGTGAGTGTCGGCTCACCTGCATAGTTGGAAAGGGTGGTTAAAGTTGTTTTTTTTACAGAGGGAAATATATTTGTTTAAGATGCTGATGAGATGGCTAAAATGAGATGTTAATAGATATTATTTGCTTATGCACTGAATGCTGGGAACTCTTTAACCATTGATTACAAGGATGCAGCCTTTAAACTTACATTCTTTCCTTCTCTGGGTTCATATTTTGAAGGTAAAAGAGTTTTAATCATAAATTCCTTGGCATCATTACACTTAGGCTCCACATATATTTTCCTATATAAGTTCTAGGTATTCTCTGTATTTTTTTTTTAAATTTTATTTATTTATTTATTTATTCCCCCAAAGCCCCAGTAGATAGCTGTATGTCATAACTGCACATCCTTCCAGCCGCTGCATGCGGGACGCAGCCCCAGCATGGCTGGACAAGCGGTGCGCCGGTGCGCGCCCGGGATCCGAACCCGGGAACCCAGCAGCAGAGCACGCACACCTAACCGCTAAGCCACGGGGCCGGCCCTCTGTATTTTTAAAAATTTTTTATTTTGAGCAAATTTTAGACTCACAGAAATGTTGCAAAATAGTACAGTTTCCATATATGCCCCACTTGGCTTCCCCTAATGTTAACACCTTACATCCTCATAGTACAGTTAGCAAAACCAGGAAATTAACATTATTTTAATACTATTAACTAAACTAAAAACTTTATTCTAATTTTGGTGGTTTTTCCACTAATGTCCATTTTCTGTACCAGGATCCTATCCAGGAACCACACTGCATTTAGTTATTATTTCCTCTTAGTTTTCTGCAGTCTGTGACCATTCTTCGGTCTTTTTTTTTTAATGACCTTGATTTGTTATTTTGTTAAACATCTCTCAATCTGGGTTGGTCATGATTTGACTGAGGTTATGCATTTTTGGCAAGACTACCTCAGGTACTACGTTGTGTCCTTCACAGTGCATCATATCACAGGGTTCGTGTTGTCCATTTGTCATCACTGGTGATGTTGACCTTGATCACTTGGTCAAGGTGGTTTCTTCTTTGTATTTTAACCCTGATGGCTAATCATTATCTGCTATTTCTGACAAATAACAAGGTGTAACAGATCATGGAATACAGAGCTGGAAGAGAACTTAGAGACCATCTTTTGTAAACCCTTCCTTTTACAGTTAAATTCCGAGAAACTCCAAGAGGGTGACCACTTGCCCAAAGGTCACCCAAATTATTTACTGTCAGAGCAGGAGCTTGGCAGTTACTCTCAGGGCTCCAAGGTGAATACTCTCTGCGCTTTCTAGCTGTGCTCAAACATTGTAATTCCCTTAGCCTCAGTTTTCCATACTGAAAAAGCTAAACTGACTATAGAATATTCAGCCAATGTTTGGTCAAAACTTACAACCAGACTAAAAGAGAAATCGCAGGTAGGTGTACACCCCACAGTTGATGAAGCCTGCTCGTGGACCTGACCAAGGCTGGACATCACATGAACTTCTGTATCAGCGTTTCTGAAATGAAAATAATTCTCCTGGAATGCTCCACATAACACATAGGGAACAACAACAAAAAACCTACTTGAGATTTTTTAACAGAAAAAGGAGATTTGTTTATTAATAATTCATGAGTTCCCATTGAACATGCACGACAGAAACAGTGCTATTCAATAGAGAATACTGTCATCTGTCACTGTTTTATTTGACATTTACACTTTTTTTTTTGCCTGATACTGCAAAACTTTCTTGGATGGCATGCAAAAATTATATAAATGAAAAAAAATTCCAATGTGGGGACTCTTTATCTCTTCTGCAATGGGTTCACTCACAATTACATACAAGTGTGTTCATGCAACAGCGTGGTACTTTTTCGCACATTCATTAGTCACCAAACGAGCTAGTAGGAGACCCTATTGAGAAAACAGATAAGCATCCCAAATGGGCTGCTGGAAGGATCATGTGAATGCAAAGATGGGAAGTGAGGTGGAAGACTAGATTTCCGGAAGGTAAGCATATATATGCTTAGAGTGAGCAGTGAGTCAGAGTGAGGGGGAAGTAAACCATGGCTGCCATGAAGAAAACTGACAAAAATACAGTGCCATTTCAAATGCAAAATATTTATAAATGGTGTTATAGAGTCCACTAGAAGGGAATATCGGCATTTAGTAGAAGAGCAAGTTAGAGTTAGGAGCACCTTGCAGTTTTATGCTATTGTGAGGCTCTTGACAATCTTTCTGCTCTGTAGGTTAGTTATTATTTATAAAAATCACAGAACCAGCTGATACATTCATAAGCTAATTATTGAAGCAGCTGGGTACACATGGTGCAATATGTCCAAGGCTGTGAAGTATCACAGATTTCTTGGGGCCTGCTGTGGTGGGGGTGTGCTGTGGAAGGCTCCATCCCTTAATCTGATCAGCCAAGCAAACACTTTGAGGGGAAACTAGATTAATAACCCTCTAAATACCATGAATGTGCTTCATCTTCCAAACCGGGTTCCCTTAAACATGCTATTAGCTCAGCTCCATCAGGGATTTGAAGTTCTCCGGTACCCTAAGAACAGGGTCTTGTTGGCTACCTCCCTGTGCCAGAAATTAATTTGGTTTGCTTATGTCTGCACACATGATCACACTTGTGTCTAATCTGCTCCCTAATAGCTTCAAGGTCAGGACCTTGCATGTCAGTGGGCAAATTGAGCACTACACTTCTTAAAGACTGATGGCAGACAGCACACAGTCCATAACGAGGCCTGTAGTTTGTTCTAAGTGATTGTAATGAGTGCAGATTATAACAGCGCATATAAATCAAATGCAGCAATGAATGTTGTGCGAGACATTCCGAGTATCATAAGTGGAGATACCACTCAGCTGTCACCTGTCTCCTTTCAAGCTGTGGCTTCCCACAATGCAGTTCACTCCTCAAGCGGAACAGCAGGTGCCATCCTCCTTAAGGTCTGGGTAGCTCAGAGCTTCATCTTTAACAGATGTAGGTTTTTGTTTTTATTTTCTATTAAATGATTGGTCTCCGTGCTATCGCCTCCCCTGGGAGATGTTAAACATACCTGTTTGAAACATTTGAAAGAGTTCAGTTGGAGACTTATTCAGATCTGTGAAAAGACAGAGCAATAGGAGTTTATTTTTTCCACAGATGGTTTATTTTCCGTTTCAAGAATTCTTTCCTGTGTACAAAAAAACCCTTGAGGAAACACTTTGGGAGCAGGAGATATTTAAAAATATAATTTATCTTCTGATAGGGATAAAAAATTTAATTGCCTTCAATTTTCATATATGTTACACCTTGAAAATCAACCATTACCTATCTCTCAACTGAGCTGAAAAAAATCTATGAAAATACTTGGAAAAACATTTCCAAGCAAATGATTAGATAGCTTGTTTTCATTCTTCCTAACCCTCTAACTCTCCCCAGCTCCCAGTTTATTGCAAGAAAAGATCAGGTCTGCGCAAATGTGGCCTCTCACTTGTAAAAACAAGGCAGTGTTGTGTTACAGATTAGTTTATAAATCCCCAGTGGCTTCACAGTTCAGTGCCTACAGCTGCTGCAGATGGGCCTGGGTTTTTGTCTCTTCTCGGTGCTGCAGCCGGCAGTTGAAGGAGAAAATGGAATGATCAGGTTATTAACATGGAGGCCGCGAGGAAGAGGCTGCACAATGAGAACAGCTGGTGTTGCTGTCTTGGCTGATGCAGCGGAGATAATCAAATCTTGCCTTTTTTTGGGTAAAGGCAGAAGACACAGTGGAGAGTTAGACAAACAACGGCTTATGATATTATATGGGGTTTTTATAATGCATGTCAGGAACGTTCATTGGCTTACAAGTTATGATATAAAATTTGTTGAGGTTTGGGATTTTTTTTTTACAAAGTCATTTGTGTTTACTTATGTACTTTTTTAGAAAAACTCTTAACTCTTGCAAGAGGCGTAATGTGGGACAGTTCTTGTTTTTAAAATTAGCGATGTAGCTTGGAAATGATGGCTTAGAAAGCTACTGGGTAAAATATTTTGACATGAGTCAGTGAGCGATGTTGACAGCATCCTCTGTATTATTTTCATATAATCCATCATTATTTGCATTACATTTTCTTTCTTGTGCAGTTTCGAGCAAGAGAACATCCGGATGCGAGTTGGGAGGCAGACATTTGCAGGTGTGACCCGACCAACTGCCTACCTTCCTGCAGGTGTGGCTGTGGCGGGAAGGTGATGGTTAAGAGGGCCTGGAGCCCAAGGCAGTCAGAGATGGAGCAAGGATACATTTTGTTTTCATTCTAGCCAAGGTGGTTGTTTCTGTTTTGTGGAGTTATTAATAGTTGTAAGACTGTTTCCTCCCTAGAGAGTTCAGTGTCATTTACACTTTAGAATTTGCCATCTTGTAATTCATACTTGTTCATCTTCACTCTTTTCTTGGAATGGAATACTATCCAATTGGGTAATTTAAAAAAATTGTAGCTGACCAACACGAGTTACTTTTTGCTGAGAATCAGGTAACTATAATCTTGCTTGAGTATCTTTTACAAAGGAACTGTAAATTAATTGAGAATATATTCTATAGGAAAGTGATAAGATAATTAACAAGAGTGAAGATTCTTGGGCATTGGCGTAACCACTCACATGGTCATTGGTTGGTTTCAGAGTTGTCGGGCTGTTTCAGTATCGCCCCACATGGTGGGAACAACTTTGACAGAAAAATATGGTAAACTGGGATGCCACCTGACTGTAGTCTAGCTGTCCTCTACTGCTCTGCACTCTGTGGGTTAACTCAGGTGACTTGCTCTCTCCAGGGCTGGCTGTGCGAACTGCTCCGCTGGAAGGAGAACCCCAGCCCGGAAAACCGCACCCTCTGGGAGAACCTCTGTACCATCCGTCGCTTCCTGAACCTTCCCCAGCATGAGAGGGACGTGATCTACGAGGAGGAGTCAAGGCACCACCACAGTGAACGCATGCAGCACGTGGTCCAGCTCCCCCCTGAGCCAGTACAGGTCAGCATCCCCTCCCCCAACCTGACCAAGGCTGTCAGTGACAGGCCAGCAACTGTCGAGGGTCAAAAGGGCACACCACACCAACCTCCTGTCTCATGCCATGTCCCCAGGGACAGAGGACCCCGTTCTCACAGTGGGCACAGCGTGTGTGTGTGCGTTTGTGTGTGTGCACCCTTGTGTGCATGTGCTCACACAGAGAAAAATGACTGGGAAGTCAACTCCAAAGGCAGCTGCTTTCCTGAGTCTATTTTCCTTGTGGGATTCTGAAGCCAGAGACTCGTGGAGAATTAAATCTCTCAATCAGAAAACATAGTTCATACTTTCCGTCCTTCATTTTCTAAAGAAAAAACTCTGAAGTAGCTGATGAATTGACCTAAAATTCCTCAAGGAATGTCTGATTAGGCTGAGGAAAAGAAATAGCCACATGAGCTAGAGAGTACCTGAACTGAACCTTTGAGAGAAATTGTGGTCGATTCTTAGAATTTCAAGATGGGTTTTTGCTGTCTTTGGTTTCCTCTTTTAGAAATCTACCTTCATTTGTGTTGCATGTTTTGTTTGCTTCGTTTTTGCTCTCATCGAGAGAAATAATATTTCTTTCTGAAAGTAATTGAGTTTAACTACTGACTTTTGCTATAGTCTAAAATCAATCACTTTCAGGAAGAAATATTAACTAGGTTAATACTCCAAGGTCAGACCCCTTAGAGTTTTGCCCACAAGTTGCATTGGTAGGTTATGAGATTTGTCCTTCTGTCCAATACCACCAATCCCGACTGCCACCCCAGATGATCCTCCAAGGCCTCTCTCTGACTCTCCTTTTTTGTAGCAAAAGAGGAAAGTTGAGGCAGGAGTGCGTGTATATGTGCATGTATGTGAAGAATGGAAAAGAAAAAGAGGAGGATGAAGGTAGGGTGGGGTGCAGTTTCTTTATCAAGATATCATAGGAGAGGTGGTGAAGGACATGGCAAAATGCTCTACGCTGAGGTTTTGCTGTCTCCTTTCCCCTCGCTCCACCGTCACATTCCTGGGGAGGAGCAGGAAGTCTACAGGTCCGTTACATCACTTTTCATCCAAATAATAACACTGCAGTCAATGCTTTCATGATATCATTGGTCAGTTTCCAAAGTCACAGAGTGAATTGCCCAAATGATTAGACTCCTGAATTTGTAGAGCTAGAAGCCCCTAGAGGCAGTCTCTTATAATATCCACAGTGAACTCAGAGTGGGTGATAAGGGTACATAGCTAATAAATGGCGGAGCACACTCTCCTGGCTCTGGACTGGTGCTTGGGGTAACTCATTCCCTGGAGGTGAGCCCCAAGGCTTACCCTGCAGGACCCACCCCACCCCTTCCCTCTCCTGTCCTTTCTTGGCTGGAGCCTCATCCAAACACCAGGGCACTTCCCTACAGATAATTAGACCAACATCTTAAGTTACACAGAGCAGTGCTTTTCAGATTTTGAGATTTAGTAGAAATTAAAATTAAAGAGGAGCCCAATATAGGTTAAACAACCTGTTATTTTGGAAAATATATTTATTTGAAAAATTAAAGGGAAGCTTCCATTTATTACCCAATATCATTTCATAAAATAAAATACTCTTTAATATCAAACAAATTAATGAAAAGGATAGCGTCAGACAAAAGATCTTACAAACTGTATAAATTCAGTCACGTGAAAAACTCACCGTCACCCTTGTTTTTCTCATTTTGATGTGAACTGGTCAAAACTTCTGTGTTGCACCAACACAGGGCCAAGGACCAGCTTCAGGGGACCACTGACTTTGGACTTTTCATTCAGGGTCCATCTCAGTTCAATCCAGGCGAAGCAGAAAAAGAACAGGAGTGAACAACTGATTTATTCTAGACGTTAAGAGTATCCCGTTTTTATAGGATGATGACGAAGTTGGAAATTTAGAGAAGTTTGTGATAAAAATACTAAAACCTGTTCTCCATTATAATGAAGGCCCTCTCTTCATTTGGACGATGGCCTCTACACATCCCTTGCCTCCATTCTTTATCCAGAAATCCTCATCTCCGAGTTTCCTGTGTTTATGGTAGCTAAAAGGATATTCAACATAATATTTTGTCTTTTTAACTGAACAGTTTGAGTAAAGTAAATCTTAGAAGCAGACAGCCAATTGATTTATGTTTTATTATCTTTTATGTTAGTATATCAAAACTAGAGTGTGCGAACAATATTTAATGGCTAAGAAACAGTCAGTCTGTAATTTTCCTGTTCAGATTTAAGCACTTTGTGGCTATTAACTTCTGATATTGCTAAGAGAATTCACTTATTTTATAAAAGGATATTTCTATTACTCAGATCTTAGCTGAAGAGTTTACAAATAAGGTAGTTTTCTCTACATTGACTTTGCCTTAGCCATTGACCTTGATCCCATAACTACTGAGAAACTCTTCAATACTTTTACATTGTGTCTGTCTCTTAGTGACACTGCTTTGAATGCTACATTGTTTGTCAGCAAAATACAAAGCTTTGAATTAATTATTTATTACAGTCATGATATGAAAAATGAAGAAAAATAACTGGAACTAGCCTGCACAACTCTTTTTTTTTTTTTTTTTTTGTGAGGAAGATCAGCCCTGAGCTAACATCCATGCTAATCCTCCTCTTTTATGCTGAGGAAGACCAGCCCTGAGCTAACATCTATTGCCAATCTCCTCCTTTTTTTTTCCCCCAAAGCCCCAGTGGATAGTTGTATGTCATAGTTGCACATCCTTCTAGTTGCTGTATGTGGGACGCAGCCTCAGCATGGCGGGAGAAGCGATGCGTCAGTGCGCGCCCGGGATCCGAACCCGGGCCGCCAGTAGCGGAGCGCGTGCACTTAACCACTAAGCCACTGGGCCAGCCCTAGCCTGCACAACTCTTGAGTCTGGAGAATACAGTTGGTACAGCCTCTGTGACTTAAGACTATTCAAAAAGATCCCACACTACTGAAAAATATCTGTAATTGTCTAAAAGTTAAGCCATTGGACTCAGGGTTGGGATTCACTTGTGCCCTTATATCAACTAAAATTTTAGGGAGATATAATTGCTTACATGTTTAGGGATTTTAAAATTTATATGTAGAATAATAATATTAGTTTGGTGATGTTACATTTTGCCTAATTAGGCAGAAAATATGCCATTAATAAATTGTTTAGTATAGGTGAAATCAGTGATTATTAAGAGCTCTGATACATGCAGCATATTAAAATGTACACAGAAGTCACCCCACTTGTGGCTACGGAAGGGCGCCACTTAAATTTCTGTGAGTAGTTAGGGTCCACTATTCCCCGATTTTTCTTAAATGGTAAAGATATAAAGCAGTGGTCTTTGTGCATAATTACCCACCAGATTAGAGCCACGGATGTACTGGAGAAAAGAAGGAGCTCCGCATACCCCATCCCTGTCAGTGCCTTCTGTGGTGTTAAGTCCCTTAGAGTCAGAGCCCCTCTCTTCATGGAAGAGAGGAAATTTTTCTTGCCATTTGTTTGCAAATAGTTTACAAATTGTCAGTCTTACATTGCTTGCAGTTGTGTTTCTTTTTTTTTAAGCTCACAAAGGGTTTTAAAAATTTAAGCCCACATTTAAAAATCAGATTTCACATAAAATCTGGATTTCATGTAACAATGCAGAAAATCAGATCTGACCCACAGGGCCACGTGGCGGGAGCTGATACTGTCTACACAGGGCACACACTCACCATCCTGCTGCAAGATCCCCATCGCCCACAATCTGCAGGTGTGCACACATCCCGCCCACTTCGTTCATTTGGGCCTCGCTCCTGTCATGTCACTCCACCCCTGTGAGGCCACCTTGCCCTGTGACTCCAGCTCTATATCTGAATCTGCCAAACCAAAGCCACACATGCCTTTGCCCTGTGGTTCTGATTTCTTCCATGGTAGCCATTATGTGCCATTTATTTTTATAGTTCTAACACCTAACACAATCCTTTGCATGCTTACCAAGGTATGCGTGTCTGATGGAATTTCCCTTTAGAGATGAAGCTAGATTATAGATGAGACCAAGTTGGGCTTGGACCACTGAGGGGTGTCTTCAGCCCGAAAAACTTGGGGGTCCTAGAAGAGTGAGATGTTTCTTCCTAAAGAATTCAGATCTCTCCAGGTGACATGCAGCTTTGATGTCATAGTGAATTATCTGAGTTCTTCAGTTTTCCATATTCTAAGTCTCTTCACAAACCGCCATTTAAGTCCCTGCTCTGTAGAAGGGGACTTTCCAGGCTCTGGAAACTAGCCTTTGTAAACTAGATCCATCTATACCGTGGATCCTCAGTGGGGATAATATTGCCCCAGAGGGTGAACACTGATTCTTGGGGAGTATAAAAATCTCCCATTTACAGCGGTTTGTGGCCCTCCAAAGGGACATAGTACATAAAGAGATAGTCAGTGTATCTCTGGTATTAAAATTTCATGAAGCGGGGGAGATGATTAGGAAAAAATGCCTAAAAGCCTCCTTCAGAGGGTAATAATGAAGAAAAAGAAGGGGTTGTGAAATACTGATATACATAATGTTTCTAGTCCATGTGTAGATAGCACAAAGAAGACCAACATAGGTGAGATGACATGATAAGGCAAACTAAGATAAGAACATTCCATGAAAAAGGTGAAATAAATTCTATTTTTCATGCCAAAGGGCCAGAGACAATATTATTTCTTGTGGTTGTAGTGCTTTTCCCCATCATGGTTATGATGACCCGAGGCCCTATAGTGAGTGGATACCCTCAGCTTAGAATCAAAAGCTAGTTAGGTCAGGTATTCATCGTTACCAGGTCCATTTTACAGTTGGAAAAGCTGGAGTGGAGACGGTGGGCCTTGCCTGGAGCCAGAATCACCAGCTGAAAGAGAAGGCAGGCGTTTTTGGCATCTGGTCTTCCCTCTGACCACGCTTCTCTCTAATGCAATGGAGAAGAAAGGACGTTGTTCATGCTATGACTAGGTCACCGCGGGGGGCTGATTGGGGAGCATTTGCCAAATTGTTCATGT